TGTAGTCTGAATATGATTTTAGCTGTGCTGGATAATACTCAAACTAACTTAAAGGGAAAAGGGAGACATAGAGTGCAAGGATATGTAGCATGGGGTACGCCCCGATCCAGATCTCGCTCATCACTGTTTGCTTCAGATGCTTCCTCTCTTTAATGCCAAGATAACCATCATTCACATTCATAATGCTTTTTTTTTAATTGTGAAAATACTGTACAGAGGGGTTACAATTACATGAGCAAGGTAATGAGTGCATTTCTTACCAAGCATTGTTGCCTCCTCCTTTGTTTCCCCTTTCCATCCCTTCCTATCTCCCTCCCTCCCCCACCCCCCACCAAAGTTGTAAAGTTTGTTTTTCAACATAATGTCTTGTACATCTCATTGTTGCAATGGGTCCACCTGTATCCCTACTTAAACAATTTGTTTTTTCCCTTCCTCTCCACAAATTATGCAAACATTAAATACAATGAAAACAGGGGTTATACCGTGGGGGAGGGACATACAAAGCAACAAAGAAATATAAATGTGTTAGAAACAATCACAAGAAAGCAAAAAACATTTGAGTCCTTATCTTGGGGTTCATTACACCTATCATCAACTTATCTGACCTTTTCTGCTTATCTCAGACATATACTAGTTATTGCAAATAAGGGAAACTATGGGACCTGGCTTACTTCACTTAATATAATTTTTTCCAAGTCTTTCCATTTCCTAACAAATGGGGCAATGTTATTCTTTCTGATAGAGGCATAGAATTCCATTGTGTATATATATATACCACATTTTCTTGATCCATTCATCTACTGAGGGGCATCTGGGTTGATTCCATATCTTAGCTATGGTAAATAATGCTGCAATAAACATAGTTATGCTGGTAGCTTTCATATGGTCTTGTTTGTGATCATTTGGGTAAATGCCCAAAAGTGGGATTTCTGGGTCATAGGGGAGCTCTATGTGGAGTCTTTTTTATTGTGAAAATACTGTACAGAGGGGTTACAATTACATGGCAAGATAATGAGTACATTTCTTATCAAGCATTGTATATGTGAGTCTTTTGAGGAACCTCCATACTGCTTTCCAAAGTGGTTGAACAAGTTTAGACTCCCACCAGGAATGCATTCTTCAGATTTATAATTCTATCTGACCCAGCTAAACTAAAGCATTCCCTATTCCTAATCCACAGAAGCCATGAGATAATAAATGTTTTGGCATTCTAAGATACTCGGCTTGAGGTTAATTCATTGATAACAAGCATGTTCTCCAAGAGCTGTCTGTTCTGTTGCTCATATGATCATAAGCACAGGAAGACGACACAGCTTTTTAGATGTGAGCTGGGCTTGGAGAGGGTGCTGTGTACTCTATATAACGTGAAAAATATTTATAGCATACACCCAGGCTTCAACCACTGGTGAGTTTTACTTAATAGATCTGGGATGGGTTCCAAGCATCTGTATTTAAGTGAATTTTGAAAAGAAACCAATTCAAGGGTTTCTAAAGAATACTCCTGGTTGGACTTCAATTTAACATGCAGTATGTCCATTTTTACCAATGAAAAAGGTGGCAAACAGACAACGTCAGTCAGTGCGTTTTCTTATGAACCCAGGGAGCAGCTCTTAAATTAAATTTACATCAGGTTTTTATGTCAAGTGACTGCTAGGCCCCACCCCCAGGATTCCTAAGAAAATAGGGCTGGGGAGGAACCCCATGATGTGCATTTCTACGAAGTTCCCAAGTAATCAAATGCTGCTGGTCCGTGACCACACATGGATAACCCTACTAAGAAGTGGTTACCTTAGAAGGCCTCCAGGATTGCTCTTACACTTTTCATAACAGCAAATGAAAAGAAACAGAATCTCTTACCTGCATGGGAGACACAGATCAGGAGAATCATGGCTCAGAGACAGACTAGACAGAAAAGTTAGTCAGATGCTGTCTCAAAATTAACCAGCAAAAATAGAGGCTGAAGGTGTGGCTCAAGTGGAAGAATACCAGCCTTGTACATATGACAGATTCCCTGAGTTCAAACTGCACACTGCCAAAAACAAAACAAAACTCATCTACTTTGCCTGCACCAAAGTCAGCCACTATGGTGGCAGAAAAAAGAACAACAAAGCAATCTTTCCTATCTCTGTGTTATACTGTTAAGAAGCGGACTTAAAGTTAGTACAATAGACTGTGAAATCTGGAAGAATTAGGTTCACACATCACTAGCCTGCACCTTTATTATTTTCAAATCTGCCTAAAAACCTATCAAGCAAATTATCCTTTCTTCCCATTTCTTCCCTTCTTCCCCACCCCTTACTTTCTTCATTGCTGGCACTGAGTGTGTGTGTGTGTGTGTGTGTGTGTGTGTGTGTGTATACTAGAGAGAGGGAAGGGAGGGAGGGAGAGAGAAGGAAGAGAGAAAGGAGAGAAGAGAAAGGACGAGAGAGAGAGAAAAAAATACCCAAAAGGTGGTTGTCATTTTTATTTAAAAAACAAAAAACAAGCTCAGGTCTTCATAAAAATTATGTAGATGAAGACTGCATACTTTAAATTTCTAGAATATTGATTGAATAATTTGAAAAGGAAATTGAACTGTCGTTAAAAATACTCAATCATCACTGTTTGTGTTCTTACTAAGAGTAGGAACTTTGGGAGGGAAGGAAAACCCACTTTACACATACTGGCCATTTCTTTGAAAAGTAAACCAGAGGCATGGTATTTTTTTTCTACTGTGTGAAGACAAATGTCACCTACCGAGCACTTAATTTATCACATAAAAACTTCAGAGTTTTATGAAGGAAATCTGTTTTGCAAAGTTTGTACAAAGAATGCTCATCATTACTGAAATTCCTCCAGAGACATCCCAACGCTCCAAGTCATTCCTTTTCTACTGTTTATGATTTGAAAGGTTTGCTATCAAAGGTTGATTTCTAATATGAAGGAGGTTGCCCTGGAAGGCTTGACTTGCTGAGGATCTACAAAACTGTTCTTCTGTAACTCAAGAGGGAAATGGGACTCTCTTGTCTTGTTCTCCACTACGAATTCCCATCTTCAGGCTGCTCAGAAGATAGGAGGTTATTTGATCACATCCATTCTCTATTTTTCTTTCTTCCTTAGTTCTTCCTTCCTTTTATTATTTCTCTCTCTCTCTCTCTCTCTCTCTCTCTCTTTCTCTCTCTCCTTCTCTCTCCCTCTCACACCCCTTTCTTTCGTGTATGTGTATGTGTGCTGGTTGGTACTAAGGGCTTGAACTCACAGCCTGGGTGTTGTCCCTTAGCTTTTTCACTTACGGCTAGTGTACTACCCTATAAGTTAGGGTATTTCTACCCTATAAGCCACTTCTGGATTTTTAATGGTTAATTGGAGAAGAGAGTCTCATGGACTTTCCTGCTCCAGCTGGCTTTGAACTACAGTCTCCACATCTCAGTCCCCTGAGTAGTTACAATTGCAGGCATGAACCGCCAGTGCCAAACTTCTTTCTTATCACCCTCTCCCACCCTTTTCTTCCTGGCTTGACTTTCTTACAATTTTGTAAATGGGTTTCATTATGTATATCATTTCTATGTGTAAAATATTTCCATTATAGTTTGAGGTTTTGAATCTAAAATCTTCAGCTGTGTGGTCTTGGAGACATTATTTCTCTCTTCACTTTTTTCCTTTTGTTAAATATAATTCATAATATCAGTCATAGGGCTCTTAAGAACATTATAAGTAATTATAGGTGAAGAGTATATATTGAAGATTATGTAAGAGTTTTAAACTTTGCCTGGAATGTAGTAGATTCTTATGGACGGTAGTATAATTATTGAGGGATGAAAGAAAACTAGGAAAATGTATAATTTCATTTAGTTTTTAATTTCTCAATCCATATATGTTCCTAATATAAATAGGAATGAATAAATGGCATTTATGTATTTGTATACATGAGCAAATTAATAAGACTTTTTCTCTCATGTTAAGAAGGTATGTCTAAAAATTATAGTAATGGGTCAAGAGGTGGAGATTTGCAATGCTGCTGAGGAATTGGGACATGGATTATAAGGTAGGTGGAGGGAAATTTTCTGGTAATGGAATGTTCTGGAGAGGTAATGGATAGGTGTAGTTTTTACACAAATTTATATCCTTATCAAATAGCATAGAACTGCACCCTCACATCATATCAATGGCAATGGCAATCTCATGGGTGTTTGTTTTTGAGTAGGATCTGGTTATGTAGTCTAGCATGGACTTGAACTCAAAATCCTCTTACTTCGACCACCCAAGTACATGCCATCGTATAGTTTTGCTATTGTTCTATTGTATGTCAACTGTACACTCAGGGTAAAATGACGGCAAGGTGGACCAGAGCCTTCTGTATCGTTTGTAAAACTCCTATCAATCTATAGTTACCTCAAAGTAAGCGGATTTCTTGTTTTGTGTCTCAGATGAGACAACATGAATTTGGTATTGGATTTTAAATATAAGACTATGTAGATCTTTCCATATTGTTTCCTCTGCCTTTCACTCCTTCTCACTAGGAGTCCAGTGTTTAACGAGTACTTGAAAATGCCACTGACCAGACTTCTAAAGAATACCAGATCCCATCATTTCTCATCCTAAAATATTCTCAGTTGCTGCCCAGCAGGAGTTAGCATGTGGCAAGGCTTGGCAGTCTACTCCTGCCAGCAGCATCAGATATACAAGTGTACCCTTAAAATCCTCTGTGGATTGAATCAGCTCAATTTACAGTACAGAAGTCTTGATATGATAATGCTAACAAGCCAGTCAACCGAATAACAAGCAAATAAGATACACTTAGTTCAGATTATTTGGTGGTTATATAACCACATTCCCAGGACATAGACCAGTATTTCTGGATGAATGAACGAATGTATAAATAAGTGAGTGATAGGACCATTCACGGAATGCCTGAGAAAATGCCAGCTTAAAAAAGTAAAGAATCAATTCACCATTGTGAGGCAGGGCTTAAAGTCAGGGCTTTCTGGGGAAGCTTCTAACCCTTTTCTCTTTGTTTCCAGGCAGCTTGAAATCCATTCTCCAGATGCTAAGCATACGGTGATCCTAAGAAGCAAGGACTCAGCCACTGCCCAGGCCTGGTTCAGTGCCATCCATTCCAACGTTAGTGACCTGCAGACTCGAGTGATGGCAGAAGTCAGAGAGCAGCTGGGGAAAACGGGCATTGCTGGCAGCCGAGAGATCAGGCACTTCGGCTGGCTTGCAGAAAAGGTAAGGAAACCTTCTCCTTCCATCCTTGTCCCCCAGGTTCTCCCTGGACTTGGAACAACGGAAGTTCTCTCATTCCATAGTGGTTGGGTCTCTCCTTCACATTGTAGTTGCAGTTCTTGTTCGTTTCCACTTACTGCACTACTGCACTTTCTGAGTTACATAGAGAATTTCTCTTAATCGGCCATGATTCTCCCAACATGCAATCCAACATGTAGTCAATTGGCTTTTATAGTAGTAAGAAGTGAGTGAGAGAATTGATGAAAAGGTTGATTTTCCTGGCCATGTAGAAGGGGACAGATGGTAACCTAAAGCACACAGCAGAGCTGTCGCCTTGGGAAGCAAGGAAGCTGTCATGGGAAGAAGGGTTTGTCACAAGCCAGCTCACTAATGACACAGATCTTTCAGGAGTGCCCAATCGTACCCTTACAAATGGTAACCATGACGGTAACTGCCCAGATTTCTGGGAGAACAACTACCACGCACCGACTTGTTCCTCTATTATGCTCTGTTTTATTTCTGATCTCTCCCAGTAGGGCCTCATATAATCACTATGGAGAACCTGCTTTATGTGAGACATATAGGTAGGAGCGGGAAGAGTTGTTTAAAACAACTAAAGACCTAGTCTCTGTCTCAGGGAGGACAAGTTCCTGTGGAAAAGATTGTGTCATATTAACACCATCATTCTAATTTCTTTTTCCAAGGTATATGGTAGTGCTGTGTGGATAAAAGTCATGCGTACTTTGTGACTATCTCTTGGGTCTTACCCGTTCTCTTCATTTCAACAGATTGAGCTTTTACCATTGGCCTTGTACCTGACTGCAGTCCCTTGAATTTGACCTCAGTTGTTAAGGATCATTGGGCTTTGGGGACAGTTTGGCCTCTCACTGACTCATGTCCTCAAAAAGTCAGTAAATAGGAATGATGATGGCTGCAATAACAGCTTTCCTGCCAAGGACCCATGTCATCTGAGAAGGCCCCATCCAATGGCATTTGAAAATAATACTTGATCACAGCATTCGGTTGTTTTCCACCATTGTTCTTTGTCTGTACCAGTTCGTGTATGGGACTTGGCCACCAAGTTCAAGGCAAAGTGGATTGTTTGCTTTGGTATTGTCCCATTTCCCATTGATTTCAGAGAACTAAAGACAGAGTGTCAGTGTTGGGAGGATCACCATCATAATTTACACAAACCACCATGGGTAACCTTTCTGAATGAGTGATCTATTATTTTAAATCAATAAGGATCCTGAACATTCTCTACTCTTTAGTCTTTCCAAATTCCATTTTTTTTAATTAGGAGAACATTGATTACTTAGAGAGCTTGTGATTTTTTTTTAAGGAACGGGAAGTGACTCCACTTCCCTTTAGTAAAAAGGAGCTTCTGTAACTACAATGTGTAAAAACAAGCTCCATGCATGGTGGGATCCAGGAATTCAAAAGTTACTTGGTGGTCTCTCCATCTGTTTATTCCTATGCCTCCTTTCCCAGTTTATTCTCAAGAAAGCTCTCTGTTACCTGTCAGCTCCAAGGTGTTTTTTCCTCTTATACCTGGGTGTCTTCATGAGTAAAGGCCTCTTTGCCCTACTCCTTTCAGCACAAGTATTGACCAGCGGTGACCCGGGTCATCGGTAGATCTCACTGAATGCTGCAATTAGCCCCTCTCAGATTTTGTGTTGAGAAGGGAGAATGGATTGTAGAGGGGTGAATGCAATAGGCATTCATTTATAGAAGCACAAGGGTAGAAGTTGATTGTGATGATAGAAGTCCTCACTGGGTAAGGTCCTGAATGGACTTACATAGTCCTTTGGCTAGAGGTGCTCCTCATCTTCAGGGTCCTGGCAGGAGATGTCTAGAAAATTCCTAAGTGATGACTAGCAATGTTTTTGATGTAGGGATAGTTATAAGGCATCGCCATGGTGAGGGAAACAAATGAGAAAAGTAACCCATGTCGAATTCCCCCTGGGAGGCCACTGGCACAACTTGACCTAAGAAGTGGGGGTAAAGAGAAGTTGCCTAAAATTAGCAAATGTCACGGTGGTAGAAGGGGCTACCCCCTCCCAACTGTGTTTTTTGGAGAAAATGGCTACTGATCTCCTGTTGGTATTTCCCAATGACTGAGGCTAACTGGAAGCCAAAGGCAAAGGAGCCCACTGATGGATGACTTTGTTAAGGTGAGGGGACATTCCAGGGCACAGAGCAGGTAATGAAAGGGTAGAGATTGGATCTGGGGCACAGAGGCCTGGCTGCACACACAGCCTTAAACCTTCCACATACAACGTGATCTCAGCTCTTGCTCTCATCCCCTTAAAAATTACATTTAAAACCATTGCCGGCTGGCACCGGTGGTTCATGCCTATAATCCTAGCTACTTAGAAGACCGAGATCTGAGGATCTTGGTTCAAAAACAGCAGACAAATCCATGAGATTATTTTTTCTTTTTTTTCTTTTTTTTTTCTTGGACGTGAGGCTTGAACTCTGGGCCTGGGCGCTATCCCTCAAGGTGAGCACCCTACTGCTTGAGCCACAGGGCCACTTCCAGTTTTCTAGTGGTTTATTGGAGATAAGACTCTCACGGACTTTCCTGACCGCCCGGTCAGGCAGCTTTGAACCGTGATCCTCAGATCTCAGCCTCCTGAGTAGCTAGGATTACAGGCATGAGCCACCAGCACCCTGCTAGAGATTCTTATCTCCAATAAATGACACAGAAAACACCTGGTTCTGTGGCTCCAGTGGATGCAGCACTATCCTTGAACAAAACAAGTTCAGAGGCAGCAGGCAGACCCTGAGTTCAAGCCCTAGGACTAGCACCAAAAGAAAAAAATAATTAACATTGACATTTGAATAGTTGAGAACTGCTATTATATCATTTTTAGTGACATTAACAGTATTTCCCAAAATTCCATGTTTTCACTTATACTCTTTATTATGCTTTTTGCTTATTCTAACTTCTAGAATAAGTAAATAACAGTAGTATCATTAGTAAGCATTCTTGTGAAACATCATAAAGACATAGAAAAAGCTCTTTCTGCTTTGATATTGATCCTTATGATACAACTGCCAGATTTCTTTTTAAGTGTATTATTCCATGTGGTTATAAGAGCAGTAATGTAACTTTGTAATGTAATATTGCTTTTATTCTTAAACATACCAAAAAACTTATCAAAGGAGCTCCATGGGAGCTGGGCCTTTTTTTGATAGCTCCAATCCTAGTGTGCAGAATATGAATCGTTTTTAGCCAAATATTACAATGAATGCCAAATCTTTCATACTAGGCCTTCCTTGTATTATCACAAATATCAGCAAATGTGCTTGGTATTTGTAAAGATATAAAATGTGATCCTATATATACTCAGCTGTAATTTACCTTAAATTGATGTCCTTTGTCTTTCTCTATACTGTTAAGCTTTGATTTGTAATAAATACCAGCAGCTCAGTGACAAGCTTATACAAGCTTACATTTAATTTCCAGTTTTTACATGTTGTTGATAGGAACCCAAACAAAGTAAAACAATATCAACTTTCCTTTGAAAATCTTATTTGGTGCAAATCCTAATACTTTCTTGACACTGCACAATAAAAAAAAAATATTAGCATCATTTTATTCTTTGAGAATGGCTCCTTAGAAATGAACACACTTCCAGTGAGTGAGGAGACCCTACCTACTGCTTTTGCAGAAAGGAACAAAGAGCAGGTCCTATTGTTCATGGCTAAGCAGAGGGCAGGCCATAAATGAGTCCACATTGAGAGTTCTTCCTGGAGGAGCACATCCGGTACCTTGGCTGGGACACAGTTATGAAAGGTCTTGAAAGACAGACACAATGCTTTAATGTGATCTGATGGGTAGTACGCAGGCTTCTTCATATAGAGACTCAGAGAGCAGGGAGCTTAGAGATGATCTAAACCAACCTCTTCTTCCTACAGAATCTGGGCCCCAGAAAACGGAAGGTGTCTCATCTGAAGTCATTCAAAATTAAGATATGGAAATAAGTATTCCTGATATCATCATTTCTTTTACTTAGTGGTTGAAAGATTACAATCTGCTCAGTGCATTTACTTTGTTCCATCCTTCAACTCTAGTAGCTTTTCTCTAGGCTATACAATACCAAGGTCATTGCAAGCCTGGAGTTGCCTCTTTTTCCTTTTTTCCTTGGTCTCCTCCGTGAGTACTTTAACCCCTGACTAGGGCAGGCAAATCAATGTTATTCTGAGATTTTTTTTTCTGTACCATCCTGAGACTTGAACTCAGGGTCTGGGCACTGTCAACTGAGCTTATTTGTTTAAGGCTATCACTTTACCACTTGGGCCACAGCTCTACTTCAGGGTTTTGTTTTTGTTTTTGTTTTTGTTTTCTTTTTTGCTTATTTGTTTGTCTGGGTTTGGGGGGAGGAGTTAACTGGAAATAAGAGTCTCATGGACTTTCCTGCCTTGACTTGCTTTGAACCATGATCCTCAGATCTTAGCCTCCTAAGTAGCTAGAATTACAGTTGTAAGCCATCAGAACTCAGTGGTCTTCAGATCTTTTAACTCTTACAAGTATCTGTCTAGCTTGGGAGAGTGCATAAACACAATTCCTACCTTGAATTGTAGAACAGTCTAGTCCCTAAAGATCTGTTTGAATCATTTTTTAAACGTCTTTTTCAGTTAATTATCTATGCATTGAGGTGTTTTCAATGGTTTGATTTCAGGCACTTGAAAAACAAACTAAGTTCTGATTGTCTAAGCTGCATAGAAATACAATTAAAAAAAAAAAAAAAGAAGATCATGGCAGAATTGTGCAAGTTTGTGATTGATTGTCTTTGTTTTTACCTTAGTGTTTCCATTTGTAAACAATGTCTTGTCAGATTAAAAATGCAAAAACACCACACAGCAAAACAAAAAACCTAGTTGGGAGCTCTGAATAACAAGTTCATCTCTCAGGTTTACTTGCTCTCATTTCAGTTTCTTTCAAATGGAAACACTTAAATGGCTGCTCTTCCCCTGTGGCTATTAGCATTAAGGGC